GTATAAGTTGTATTGTAGCTATTTGGTGCATTGAATACATTAAAAATGTAATACTGAGTAGGAGGACGTTGTACTGAGTTCTATAATTTAAAAATAATAGTACTCATAAAAACTTTTTAAACATACCTCAGTGTTATTCCACCATATTGTAACACTATCAGTTGATATCTGATACCAACTAATATTAACAACTTGAGCTGGTACTATAAGAAATACTATGAGTGTGTGTGTGTATAGTACTTACCATTCCATATATACTGTATTAATGATGAAGAAGGTCCTTCTCTTCCAATGGTGTCAATAGGAATAATAATAAATGAATAATTAGTACCAATAATAAGAGAAGTAAGTGTCATATTGTTTCCAATAGAGCTGTATTGAGAAGATACATTGCCGTCATTAATCATAACAGTATAGTTCACTATACATTGTATGTTCTGTTGATACAACCAAGTAATAAATATTGAACTATCATCAATTGGATTTATGCTTATATCAGTCACAGCTACTGGTGGATCTATTAATTATTAGTATATGAAAAATCAATAAATGAAATAATAGATAATGATAACTAACCTGCTATATTAATAGTTACGGAATCAAATTGAGGATTGAATGAGTTTCCAGAACATCCAACGACTGATCCATTCTGTGACACATTGATTGATTGATAGATACCAGTACTTGTTACTGTACTACCAGTGATATTAGTATAGTTAAGCATAAGACCTTCAACAACTGTACCAGACAATGGTATAGCTTCTGATACAGAGCTATGACCAGGTATTCTCCAGAATGTATTTCCAGTGATAGTAGTACAAGTGAGTACTAGTCTATCACCAGGACAGAGTGGGGTATAAGATGGAGAGGTTTGAACTAGCTCTGCTCCAGATGATATCAAAATAAAATCAACCAACACAAGACACCAAAAAATACCAGCAGTAGTCATTCTACCAGTAAGAGTAATAAGAAAGGTCTAGCTAGTCTCCTTATCAACAGAAAATTGCTTATAAGTCAGACAATATTTTGCTGTGTTGTTCTCTTCCTATAACACTCCTACCAACCCACACACTACACATACACCCACCATATGCCATAGATAACACAATACTATGATCAGTAGTATGGGCACTACAAGTTATTGTAACAGATGGTGTGTGTTTATTGCACCATTTAATGTACTCTATTAACATTGTTGATGCATTTCTAGTTGTTAATTCAATACTCAATAACACTCAATATCGCATTGATTGCTTCATAACTACTGATATAAATCCTTTAACTGATGTTTACTGGTTAGTAAATGGAGTGATGAAGAGTAATATAATGTATACAATATGCCCTGTGCAACAGCATACTACTGGTATATCCTGATCCACTGGGAGTGTCAGTTAATGTTACCTGTAGGCTGTATAGCAATGATTGGAGGAGTCAATTACAATCAATCTGTGATAATACATGGTATGGTCAATAATAGACACCTTTGTTTCTTTTTTAGCTCATAGTGGTCTTCCAAATAATGTGAGAGGGTTTATATTAAATGCTACTAGTGTCAAAGTGAACTGGACCAATTTATCAGAGACCAAAGGATATGTGATTGAGTATACTACTGACTGGAGGTGTAACCAGGAATGTAGTATCAACTAGTGAAAATGAAATTGTACTAACAGATCTATCACCAATTAGTACCTATACCATCAGTGTGTACTCATATCTAGATCTTCCTTCAGTTAATAGTACAGTAACAGTGTTAAGATTTCATGGTTAGTTATTATCATTGAGAGAGTGTGATTGATATCTGTTCTAGTTCCTAGTCCAGTAACTAGTCTCTCAGTATCTAATGTCTCAACCACTGGTATTACAGTGAACTAGTGGACTATTCCCAGTAGTGACAACTATATAACATACTACACCATCTCCTATACTCCATCTTGTCCCCAGTTATCATCAGTGAATGAGACAGTCTCTGTTGCTCCTCATCAGTCCACTACAACATACAGTTATACATTAATAGGTCTGTACAGTGGTATGAACTATACCATCACAGTGAAAGCTGGTAATGAACTAGGAAGATCCAATCCTGAATCAATTTATAAGGATACGCTGTCATTAAGACGTATGTGTACATGCATCATCAGACATCAGTTAACAGTTTCATTCTTTCCATTAATTTTTAGCTCCTATTGGTGTTCCACATTCTTTTTCTTTATCACAACCTATTAATAATCTCACTTGGAATGAGGTTAATTGTTTTGACCGTAATGGTCTAATCACAGGCTATACAGTGGTGATCAGTAACAGTAGTATCACATACAGCCTCACCAGTACTGAGAGATATATCATATTGAATGATCTAGTATTTGGTACTGAGTATAACATCAGTGTAGCTGCTGTCAATTCTGTTGGAAGAGGTCCCTTCAGTGATCCTATTGTAGTAGAGATTGGAATAGGTATATAATTATTATAATTGTACTATATCAGTTCTGTGAGAATATGTCTTTATTTAGTACCTGGTCCAGTTGGTTCAGTATCCAGTATCATGGACACTACATGGGCTGTTATCTCATGGAGTGTACCTAGTTATATTCCATCAGACTATCCCATTATCACATATGAGATAGGATATCATATCTTACAGTCTGATAACTGTTTGATGGTTGATGATAATAACGTTATATCTCAAATATTACAATTCCATAATTTAACTAATGACAATACATTTATTGTCATTACTGGTCTTATTAACGAGTCTTGTTATATTTTTGGTGTACGTACATACACTGATAATGGATATGGAGAATGGACAGTTATTGCTAATGAGACATTAACTCTACCACCATTATCATCAACTAGTGATTCATCCAATAGTGTTATTGCTCTTAGTGTGTTAGTGGGTATATTGTGTGGTCTACTAACTGTCAGTGTTATTGTTCATATCTACTGCTTTATAAGGTAGAGTTTACATACTCAGTATTATGAATTGCAATTGTTTTTGCTATAGAATAAAAAGTCTATGTGCTATCAATAAACAAGCAAAGTTAGTCTATTTTAAAGTTACTTATTAATAACAATGATAATAGAGCTGATGATGATATTTCAATGCAAGTATGTGAACCATATGGAATCCACAAGACTAAACAAAGTGAAGAGAATGAAGGAGTTCATGATGAATGTGAAGCATCACCTGAAGTTGTCTATGAGCATATGCCACAATGAATGTACTAGAATTAATTAATATAACCCTTTAATGTTTTAGTGCATCAATCTCTTTAACATGCTTGTGTGAAAAAAGAATACAACTTTATGAGTGCATTTAATAATCACAGTGTAGTCTTGTGGATGTGGCATGAGATCTGATTTTAGCAATGATTAATCCTCCTACCTTCATTTCTTGTCCATGTAGAAAGAGAGAGAGTAATAGAGTATATATACATATAAACAACTCGTGAATAATTCTCTTTGATGTTTGAGGTATTAAAATTGTGTAAATCCTGGGGCCACCAACGCATATATGTATACATTTGTTTTCACAAATTTTGATTAGAAAGTTAAAAAGCTATTATCCAATTGAAACTATATACAGCTAGATGAATGTAAAACATTGAAGGAGCGAGCCTTAGCAAGCAAATCAATGTACATATATACAATAGATCTTGACAGATTAACAATACTCATGCATGATTGTGCTAGATTGTGCACTAAGCAGGTCAGAACTTGATGTGGATCATGCAGTTCTTGATGATCTACCTTTTGTAATCTCTGCAGCAGTGAAAGTTAGTAACTTGCTTATAGCACTTAACAAGCATTAAAGATAGGTACAAGCAGTCATTTCACAAATGATATAGCTATAGATAGGCAACTCTACCAATGTAGTTTTGGCTTCTTGCTATTTGTAGTGCTCCAAGTGCTCAGTACAGGCTAAGTTACTGACATTCACTTGATCAAATTTAGTCACATCAATAAAGAACATGGCATATCTGTTTTTTAAGCCTTCCTTGCTGCATTGGATAGCAGTACATTCTTATCTTGCTGACCTCAGTGACTTGCAAGCTCAAGAATTTCCTGTTTTGATAGCCGCCATTGGGCTCACCCCAATTAGATTATTTTATTTAAAACAACTAGGAGAGAATTTTCAATTCCCTCAAATTTTTCTGACAACTATCTTTGTGTAATCATAATAAATCGTTGCAACTATTAATAATCTTAGATGAACAAGATGAAATTCAAAGAATAAAGCAATTAACATTATTAATAACAACATGCATGTAGTTGAGCGTGTGTGTGTGTGCGTGCATTAAATTTATTTTACAATTTCAATGAATTAAAATATCTTCTTTTGATACTTCTCAGCAAGCCTTTCAGCAACAGAAGCAAAGTCTGATATCAGCATCAGTGGAAAGCTTTTCTGTTTGCTCCTCAATCCTTTTCTTTCGATACATCTCAGCAACAGAAGCAAAGTCAGCAGCACCAGTGGCAAGCTTTTTTGTTTGTTCCTCAAACCTTTTCTTTTGATACTTCTCAGCAACAGAAGCAAAGTCAGCAGCACCAGTGGCAAGCTTTTCTGTTTGTTTCTCAATCCTTGATAAATCCTCTCCTCTTTTATCAAGTTTCTAACAACAATAATAACAATAATATTAATTAATAATAATAATAATAATAATAATAATAATTCGTAATTAATTAGAATATGCGATCAATAGGGCAATGCATTAATTTGCCTGTACTTGCCAATGGAGATAAAACATAAAAAGGCTACTGCTGTTGCTGTGTAAACTAGACACAGACCAATGAATTATAGTTTCATAATAACTAATTTAAATGAGAAGGATTTGTCTATGTCCATAGCAGCTGTTTTAAAATGCTTTTTGAAGAGCATTTGAGTAAAAATCCAATTCGAGAGGCAATGCCATGAGAAGTTAAATATTTTCCAGCCTGATGTGTCACTACAATCTAAAACTGTTATAGAGTACATGCACCAATTATGAGACACTTAAGATTTTTTAATTTTCAAATTTCATCATTGAAATTACAGGCAGTGTCCCATAATACAAACCGTCTCATAATACCAGAATCTACTCTACTGACCTAAAATTTATCTTACTTATCTTAGTTTATACAAGAAAACATGTAATTATACAATCACAGTACTATGATCTACATGTAGCTGCACATCAAATCAACGTGCCTGTATTAATTCCAATATTTATGAATAAGTCTTATTATTATCATGTCAAGTTGCAGGCATTCACATAGATCGTAATGTAACTTTTTTATAATGCAATTGCTGTACCTAAAACTATAGCCCATTAAAAACTTCTATAAATACAATGTGCATGTACATGTATGTACATGTATGTACATGCACATTTACATCATTACAGTACACATGTCCAGAAAATCACTGACTATCAACCAAGAGTACATGAACCTACCATGTACTCTTTCTATCACTCTATTGAATATCAGCTCTTATATCATTGTCAGCTTTCTATTGGATCAGCTTTATTAGAGGCCAATATCAAAATGGCAGGATTTGTACTATCGTAAACGGCAGCAGGGTTGATAGAGCAGTTGGGCGAGAAAAATGGCATGTGAAGAGCCCCGTAATTTTGACCACACCCACTCTTTTTTGCACATATTTTGGGCATATATGTAATGCAAATATACATTATAATATATCATAAAAATATACCTGAAAGGCCCCTATCTTACCTGTAAAGCTCCATACAACCTGTAAAGTGCCAGTCCTGGTCCTCCTGGAAGGCTTGTTGACAAAGGAAAGCAAAAAAGACTCTCTTGCTAGCTACATGGTAATTTTTCATGACTAAAAATGATGTCATTAATTAATTTCTCATTTCCGATCAAAATTTTTGGTTGGGCATTGCCCGACTATGCCCAACCCTGCAGCCGTCTATGAGGACTATACTCAATTAAAACTACCGTATTTTACCAATTAGAGGCCTGGCTGTTTATTTCTTAATAGCAAAAAAAATTGAAAAAAGAAACTCTGTGTTGGATAGCTCCTACATGCACAACATACCGTTATTTGAGGATAACAAAATTTTGCAAATTTTGTGGATTTTAAAAAAATTGCGCAATTAAATTCCTTGACAATCAACTTAATATGGTACAAGATGGCAGAATAGTGAAAATTCCCAACAATTAATTTTTTGAACCTCCGGATACAGGTTACTCGAGAAAATTATCAGCCTCAAAATAAACCCCAGTAATTATACAGTAATTAAAGGGACATTAATTATAGTGATTAAGATAACAATTACAATTAATCTTATACTAGTCATTACTCAAGGGGCGTCACTTCCATCAAGCCTGTAGTTATATACTTGCGACCACGATCAAATCAAAATCAAGACATCAAAGGGACAATCAGGTTGCGATTAAGGAATCAAGACAGTCTGTAGCAGGCATCAGGATATGCATATTTTTCGTATATCTTTGATTATGCAGTTCTATGAATTTTTAATTAGCTGTGCAAGCACTTGAGTTCATCAAATCAAGCATCAAGGGAAATCAAGCCTGTAGATCAAGGTGTCAAACGTCTTTTTATGCAGATCAAAGCTTTTGATCGCGGTCGCAAGTGTAACTACAGGCTATATATATATATATATATATATATATATATATATCATGATGAAGCCACACATCAAAGGATTAGCAGGACTTGCATATTCCATACACGCACTGCAGTGCCCCATACATGCACTGTGGCTTTGTGCTTGTGTAAACTGACCGCCCACAGTACATACTTGTTGAATGTGTGGCTCCACCCTAACATATATCATTTATAACACACCGTCTCGTGCTATATGGCTTTTATAAGGACCTCGTCCTCGGGCTCCGCCCTCGGGCTCGGTCCTTATAAAAGCCATATAGCACTCGCCGGTGTGTTATAAATATTATATAGGCAGTAGCCTATATGTAGGATTCAGGTGGATTTTTCAAGATGGCGGCCGTTTTTATAATTTTTAAACGCTTATAACTCTTTTATCTTACGTTGTACAGCCTTATAAATGGCTTAGATGGGCTCTCCTTCACTGAGCGATTCTCCTGGTACCTTTAAAGTGGACTATAATGTAGCGGGAGCTTTTCTGGAAAACAGGCCCGAATTCAAATTTCTGCAAAATTCTTCAGACTTTTTCTTCTTTCTTTCATCTTTCTTCTATCAGTTCGTTTAACTTCTTATAGAGACAACCTCTCAAGTTGATTTATACATAGTTCAACGGCGCTTGAGTCAAGGATGTGCATCGACAGGTTAAAAAGAAAAAAGGGTGGATAAAGAAGTTGGTAGAAATTCCAGGTGGAAATCATCACGTGGGTTTGTGGTTTGACGCCA